ACCCCCCCCCCCTCCCCACCTCGATCCCTGCCCCGCCTCCTCCGAGTGTTTAGACGAGGCTATGTAAACACAGAAAACGTCCTAGATTGCTTTTATAAAATTTTTCTCCTGACAACCGTGTTTACAAACTCTCATCTAGACACACAAATTGACTAATAAGCGTGCGCGTACTATGTGAAGTATTTTATAAAAGGAATTAGAGCGGATTTCAATCGAGTGTCGTAAAATCAAAACCAAAGTAATCACTCTATCCGATCATAAAGGACACAGGCAATACAATGAACCAATGAAAACCCGATGTAAATGCATGTACATGACGTAAAACGCGGAAAAACATTTTGGGCCAATCACGATTGATCTCGGTTTTACTTCTGATTGTATGAGAAGGTGGCGTGCGTCCTATTAAGCCAATCCTGTAGCGTAATGCTGCGTAATGAAAGTCTTATTACTTTTTCGACATTCGAGTGAAAACTACTCGATCAGAACAATACAACGAATAAGCTATGTCCGAGTTGCTTTTTACCTCTTTTTCAAAGCGAGTCCTGGTGTACAACCTTTCATATGGAAATGAGTTTTATTTGCAAGACAATGAAGACGCTAGAAAAACTCACTTCAATATGAAAGGTTGTGCACCAAGACTCGTTTTGAAACAGAGGTAAGAGTAACTTGGAAATGGCTTATTGCAATAGACCAGTTGCGATATATTAAAATTCAGCCTAACACAATGGAACTCAACACGAGGCTCTGGGGAATAAATTCCACAAACTCTGTAGTTATTCCTCGTACTGAGGTCTACTGTTTTAGGCTGAATTTTAATATATCAAAATTAGGCCATTTCAAAGCTTAGGATCATCCCGTATGTGGAGCATTTTGAGACTCTTGACGATCTTGCTGTGTCATTTTGTAGTGTTCGTACGGCAGAATGGTGTTTGCCGTTGGTCCATCTCAACGATGCCTTGGCCTTGGTGATACAGCTGGCTCAAGATTACGCATCTAAGCAGCGGCAGTATTCGTTACTACCTATTTATGTGAGACTTGTGAAAACGGACGATCTGTTCATGAGCCCTGCGAGCAAGTTCAGACCAGATGGATCTACAAGCGAAGAAAACTGCTACATTGAGGTGAGAGAAATAATTAGCTTTGTGCACTCTGGGTCGAACTCCAGGGGGGAACTCCCGAATAAAAAGAACGGGGGTGCTCACCATACCTTTCAGGGGCTGAAAAAGCGGTTTTCGTACCTCTTAAAGCTGTTCACCCTAGCCTCAAAAGGTCCACGGCGAAGGCCGTCGCGGTACCTTTTAGGGTATCGAACCGAAAAAATGATGACAGGAGATAATGTGTTGTTTTAGAATTAGTACCTCTTAGAGATTTCAAGCCAAAAAAATTTCAAGCCGCGCTCGCAAAACAGGATCTTGGTACCTCCTAGGGGTTCTTGTCAAAATTTTCGACGAGCACCCCCGTCCGTTATATACGGGAGTCTCCATCGGGGGCAAACTAACGTTTACAGGACAAAATTAAATTTGCCACAATGGCTTACAAATAGTCAGGAAGGTTGCACGAGAAAATATAACGCTATTTATTATGCTCATCATGTATTTTCGTTTGGACAAAAATATGCCACGTGAAAACTTTCAAAACATGGTTACTCCGTAAGGAAAGTAAAACCACATTACCCACAAGAATTGGGCCCCGCTTCACACTAATGCGTTTTCGATATGACGCTATTTCGATGATGCGTCCAGGATTAAAAGGTTCGCGTCGAGACTACTGTTATGTCAGCGTTTTCCCCGTCCACAAAAATCGCTGGGAACGTGGCTCGGTTTCCAAATGTCCACTCTGGATAGCGCTATAAATAACTGCGTTTTTAAATGTAAACGTTGAACATTTCCGATTGTTTGAGTGTGGACGTTAGGCAAAATAGTCCAGTTTTGGCTAGCCCTTGAGCAGGTTCTCGTGTGTTGCGGCAGAAGCAAAGTCGATGAGCAAAGTCGCCAGAAATGCTTCAGCGAGCAAAGCGAGCTGGTGGGGGGCCTGGCACGACTCTCGCTTTGTTCGCCGACGGCTTTGCTCGTGCCATTAACGATGAGAGCCTGCTCGCAGGCTAAGTTTTGGACTTCTCTTTGTCACACAACGCTACGCAAAAAAACGCTTAGAAAAGTATGCATTATCAAACAAATACGCAGTGGAATGGGGCAGTTAGATTCGCATCCGCTCAGGTGCATATCTTTCTGCGCTTCAACTTCTCGTCGACTGGCATGGTACTACTAAATAAACTACTTTGGAAATTAGACTTCGGTAATCAGATGTAAAACCCAAGAAATGAACTCCTGAAAACTCACATTTGTTGGTCACAAAGAAAACCCTCAGTTTTGTTGCCCTTCGATATTTTCCCTTGTCGGGTGGGGCCAATTATTACTAAATCGATTTATTTTCCCCAGGTACCATTCCTCCCCGGAGCTTTTGGCATTGACGAGTTTCAAGAGGTGGTGGAAGACGCTCTCTACACAAAGTTCAAGGCGAGGCCACACTGGGGAAAGAACAACCGGCTTAACGACAGGAAGATCCACGACTGCTACGACAATGACAAGCTGAAAAAGTGGAAACAAGTGTTCCAGCTGTTCAACAAAGGAGGGCCGTTTAACAACCGTTTTACTCACAACATGGGGTTTGACTCGTTTCTGATCGACCAACAACCTACACGCCTGGGAACACAACTTACGGCGGGCACCGCCACCTCCTGCGAGTGAGGAGGGGAGGGGAAGGGGAGGTTGAAGGCATTATATCCGAGATTTCTCGCCCGCTAATGACAGTAGTGTTGTAGAGTGAGTAGCAAACACGATAAATGAAGGTGTTAAAGGGTTTATGCGTGACACGCGATGAGTGCAAATAATTATGTGAAGCGTAAAAAGTAACTAAAAGACGTGAAAGACATAAGTGATTCGTGACTGCGCCTCGTCAACTTTGTTCTTTCATAGAAAACGCAGGCTCTTAATCTAATTGTCAAGTAGAAACACGATTTTTAACAAATTGGTGCTGGTAGTTTCTTTGAGTTATTTCTTAATTCTTCCTAATTGTTACAAACTGTTGCAGTTGGTCACGTTCGATATATCAATATTCTAACGTGGCCCCGAGGCTTTCAGGACAAACTTCTATATATGGTGGTGTTTTCTTTGTGTCCAAGTCTCTTTTGGGAATTGAGAGACAAAAAAAAAACTTTAAACATTTGTAATTTTGACCCGAAAGCCTTGGAGCCATGTTAGAATATTGATATAGGTTTCCAGGGCAAGTTCTGTTTTGCTTGTGTGCTGTGTTGTAAGCCCAGTTGTGTTTGTGCACGGTGAAGACCACAAAAGCGAAAAACATACAACAAAGAACTTCGTCGGGTTTCATAACCATTCCTCTCTATTAACTATGCCCCAAAAAGGAATTTCGACTTCAGTTAAAAGTCTCATCACTATGTATCAGTTTAGTGCGAAAATATTTTTAGCGTGAAATTCACGCTCCTTGGAAGTCGTGAACATTGTTGCAAGACATCGCGTAACAGGACTGAGCGTAAATATAAGAATTTGTATGGGAATGTAACGATCGTATGTAACAGTTTGAAATATGGAAAATAAATTAAATAAAAACGACTTACTTCGACTCTTCCATGTTACTTTTGTTTCCGTGCCGTTTCAACGCGATTCCAGCGAGTTCCGGTTTCATCGTTTTCCTCTCTGTATACATTCCTCAGAGAGGAAAACGCATAACTAAACATAAAGATGAAAATCTAAAAGTATCGTTTCAGTTTTGCTTGGTCCTTTACTCTACCGATTACAAGGGAGTTCACGTTTTCTGCCTATAAACGAGCCCACAATCTAATCAATAATTTAAACAAATTCAATTTTATATCAGAGCGTGCAAAATCGGAAGAGTCACCGAAGAATGAAGACTGCAGCAAACAAAACTGCCTTATTCGGTTACCGGTCGTTCAGCCCCCCAACCAGAGGTCAAAAACAGTCTATTTCTCGTTCTTTAAGCGTGAATATGGGGGCTAATCAACGATGGGTTACCCCTTATTCACATCGGCGCTTAGAGAATGAAGAAATGTAACACGACCACAAACAAGTCCCTAACGAGAGCGTCAGAACTCAAAATCGGGTGTCCACCTTTTGATACATTTAATCACTTATATACAAGTCACACAAGCCCACTATATATTGCTACAAGTGTTTTCTATAAAGCGACACAACATAAATGAGTATTCTGCTCCGATCCCGTTCACAAGATATCATTAATATCACGTATATTATCAACGATTCTTTAAACATTTAATACGATCTCCCTGTGTAGCATCCTTTCACCACATTTCTTACAGATCATGTAATTTCTAGTCGAATTTCAACCCTTTCACCCTTCTTGTTTGGGGGGAGGGCTTATTACGTAAAGGTTAGTTCAGTCGTGTTACACGTAGTTTAATGAGGTGTTTAAAATTATGTTGTTTTGTTATATTGTTACACAATCTTGACTGTTTACAGCCACAGAAACCACAGCAGATTCAATCAGGAAGATACATCACACACTCTACTCTACACAGTGCCTCATCACTTAAAATATCACAGCAAAATTACTCCATAGTTTCAGCTGCCTTCACCCCGTTTGCAAATGTGAAGAAATACGGTCTCTTGCCTTGTTATATTACGCAACCAAATTATTAGAATTGCTAGCAGATGGCCTAATACCCACATTTCATATTTAGTCTATAGCTACCGTAGCTACACATTCATCGTACATGGTTTAACTTCCCTCAGTGTTTGAACAAACTAACGAGACTAATAATGATTTAATACTTATTAATAATAGGCTGTTTTAGAAGAGAGACATTCAGCTTATACTGCTCTACGTATATAAGGGGAAAACTAGTAAAATACAAATCTTTATGATGGCTAAAATCACTTCTCCTAACACATCTTGTTCTAATCTAGCCTAAGTACTTCAAGCAACGGTGAATGATCTAAACCATCTTTGTTTATCTTCTCCCAAGTACCAGGCACTATCCAAATCTAAAATTACTAGTTGTGTATTAACTAGAGGTAGGTGGCTGATAACATCAACTCCAGGAATTAACTGCTGCCAGGAATTCCCCAGTAGCGCGGAAAAGAACGACAACCTTTCTTCACCCACCACTTGATGTGCAAGTAAACCAAGATGCTTCGAACAAAAATTAACCATCCTACAAAAAAAAAATTACATCGGAAAATGTCTTGTAAATCGGTGCTGTTGTACCTTAGTAAATAATAATAATAAATAGTATTTTTATAGCGCCTATCCAAGAGTGATCTAAGCGCTGCCCGTAGACTGCTACCTTGTAGCAACAGTAGTATAAAGATACCAAAAACTATTGATTATATGTAAAAGCAAGTATAGCCTTTTGAAGTCCATAGCAAGCATGCTGACAAGTTTGTCCCGACGATTATACAGGGGTTTCATTAACGTTTTCAGCAGAAGGCAACTGGTTTTCGCAAGTGGACAGAGCTATTAGAACTGAACTTTTTTGTAAGAACAACTTTCTGCCAGATGGTCAAACCAGGCGGGCAAAATCATCCTCACAGCCGGTCAATTTGCCCGGTGCCTGGCCCATAATGAAACCCCTGGAAATCCCTGTTGTAATTATTTTAGTTATACGCCTGAGTTAAGAGACACACCGTGGGAATAAAATATAACACAGTGTCACTAAGTGATCCCAGCCAGCACTCAAACTCGGTGAACTTGAACCAGATGTCTCAGGTGTTAACCATTAGGCTGCCTTGTCTCCTATGATGGCTAAATGTTTAAGTCTGTCCCAATGCCCAAAAGTTGATAGGGTGGTTTACAATCGAGTGTTGAAAGTAATCCGGCAATTACCTTTGCTTTGGTTTTGATTTTGGTTTTACTATGGTTTGAGACTGGCTGACTAGTCTAACTGGTACGTAATTGGTTTTGCTTTTGTTTTCAACACTCTACAGTGCTCTATTTTTCAGATTAGCTTTATTTGTTACCTAGTGCAAGGAAGAGCCACCAAATCCAAGACTGAACAACCACCATGTCATCGGATGTTGTATTCTGCAAAAATTAACACATTTCACCGTCAACTGCAAACTTCCAAGCAAGAGCAAATGCTGTCAAAGCTTGTTACTTTAATGCACGAATTTTTTTGAACCCTCTCCTGTTTAGTTTGGATGTTCACTGACCCTGCAGTGGCATTTATTAGGTCAACAAAATTGGAAGTGAAAATAATTCTGAAAGTAGGGCTACATGTATCTTTGTCCAAACAGGCACAGGTACTTCAAGACGACATCAAAACTAACATTGCATTAGGTCATTTCTGAATTACCTTTTATAGCCTCTTTCTCAAAGCAAGTCTTGGTGCCCATCCTTTCATATGAAAATGAGATTTCATTCACAAGCAAATTAAACTCATTTTCAGATGAATGGTTATGCACCAGGCCTTGCTTTTATAGAGAAGCTCAGGACAACTTGGAAATGGGCTATTCAAAGGCATAATACATGCACAGTGAAAACAGTATTAAGTGTAACCCATTTAAGCAAAAAGCCTATATTAATATAATCAATCGCCTAGGAAAGTCACAAACTTTCTTCCCATATTATCTGTAAAATGAACCTGGATTAAGGAGACAATACAGTCGACCCCTGATAACGCGAACCTTCACGCGAAATTGAAAAAGGTTTGACTTATTGGGAGTTCTAGTTATCGGGGGTTGAGAACAAATGACCAGAGAAAACGGTGTTTAATGTTTTTCTATTCATGCAGCATACATTTTAATCAAATTTAAGTACAGAATAGAGAAGTAAAACTATACATCTCTAAATTACTGTATAAATCAGAAGGTGATGTAATGTGAAAAATATAACAAAAGAAAGCAGCAGGGAGAAGTCCACGAACTGCAAACTGAACAGGTTTTTTTCATGTGGCTGCTTCAAATTTGACAGAAATCAAGGGGAAATCAATTTTGGTTCGAGTTAGCGCGGGGTTCAAATTAGCGTGGGTTTGAGTTATGGAGAGTTGACTGACCCGTAGGTGTCCTCTTAATACAACTTTCACTGTTATGACCTTTATTTCAGTCAGATTAAAAATAAATCCTTACCTTCAAGATAAGAACCCACTTTACAACGGAGAGGCCAAACCCAGAAATTGCACCATACCTCCCAGCAACTGTCTTGGTCATACAATAAGCAGCAAAGAATCCCAGCCAGTTGAAAACAAACGCCACTACAATTACACGCAAACCAAAATACTGTTGTTTAATTGTTGGGATTATAAAGGTGTGCACAAACAATAATATTCTAAAGACAGTTTGATGCTCCATAGAAACAACAAAAGACAAGAAGAAACATTGTCTCAAATACAATACAACACTAACTTGTATCTATAGTCAATAATATTTTGTTTGACTAAACATAATAAATTAACATGACTGTATGTTAAACAAGGTGTAGCACAAATACAGCTGTGCAGTTGGCCATTTGAAATGAACTCAACCACTCACTGATAAAGCAGATCACAAATAGCCAGTCATTCCCAAGATCAACTTCTGCAAAAAGAGGAAAAAAGAGAATTAAAAAATGTCAGTTTTGAACAAGGGAAACATCCTCCAAGAATATTTCTAATCATACCTATTCCACCCTCAATCAGAAGTGCATTCCTTTCAACCTAAAACGAAAAAAGCCATTCATAATAATTACTAAATACTATTATTTGCTGATAAAACAAGTTTTCATTAAACTGCAACTAACATTACACTGTAAATTCACACTGTTCATAAATTTGTTCCTGTGATCAAGCCCTTCTACATGTATCTGTGCCAAGAGCGAAATGCACTACACTTGGTGACTGCACCTAGTTTTTTTCTCGTTCGGGACCATTTTTATGGAGCAATTTTCCCTTGGCCATACGATCAAGCTCATTTTTGGACATTTTCAAAAAATGATTGCAAACACACAAGTATCTTTTTAAAATCTGTTATGACTGTTTATAATTTTTGTAAATCTTAGTTACATAAGCCATTTTATATTTTTGTATTTTTAGCACACAATTTATGCTTTTTATAGATCTTTGTTTTACTTTGTTAGCTTCTTTTTATATGTAAAGCGCTTTTGAATATTTCATAGTATTAGCACTATATAAATGTATAATTATTATTTGCCATGAACCATAACTAGCACGGCAGTCTACAACTTACCAAATCATCATGTAGTTCTTTGACCCTTTCAGCTTCCTCGTACGTTGGCAACTTGGCAGCAATGTCATAAGATGGTGGTAGATCAGGATCTAAAGGTAGACATCACATGCAGACATTGGTACAGTTTACAGTGAATATTATACTATAATGGCAAGAAAGACCTCATCCCCAAAAAGGTATAATAAATAGAGGATGTTACACGTACATGGTGGTGAAAAGATATGTAATTTTATGACAGTTCAAGTGGCAAAAACAACACTATTGCTTGCCATCTTTTAACCCGTGTTTGGCATTGAAGATTTGTTAACCATTCTATGCAATGGCACAAAATGATGTATTGATATCCTCACTAGTCAGGATACGGAAAATTTTCCACTATGGTCCCAGATGCAAATTCATGTGAATTTTACAAGTGGTCTCTTTCCCAGTAAAACACTTGTGTCTATATTGTGAGAAATTGTGAGAGATCAACTGGTTTGAACCATTTATAACAAAAATAAATTTAAACAAAGACATACATACATGTATGATTTTATTCTTTCTAAATTATGCTACATCTAATACTCTGAGTTCAAATAATATCTTTTACTTCCCAAATAATTTACTTCTCATATAATTTTACTTCTCACACAATCACATACATGTAAATATTGAAAATAATCTAGTAACATTACCTGGAACACCACCATGTTCATCAGTAGGTTCATATGGTGGAGGCGGAGAATACAGCACAGCGTCGTCAGGGGGTGGGACAATCGTCAAGGTAACAGGAACTGGAGGAGAGGGTGGTTCACTTGTGGCCACCTGAAATATACACATGTATACAACAATCAATTTTTTGAACAGTGCAATTTCTCAATCTACTAGTGTTGCAACAATACACCGATGCACCGTTGAATCGCAATATTTTTTGGTCACGATATGAATCTCGATATTACAACAAGATATCACGCTATTATGATATTGTGATTCATGTCATATGAAAAAATTCAACATTCAGAAATAACTGTCTTTTATGACTCCTTACCCAAGTCCAAGCCCTTTCAGAGCTATTTAAAGGGACCTGGGAAAGGGAAAAAGAGTTCCATCTTTGTATTGCTTTGTGTGCTTCCAGTCACGTATCTTTCAAGATGGCAGCACAAAATCATGCGCAGTTTCAATTAATTGTCAGCTGACACACTCTTGCACACCCCCGGACAAAACACATGGTTCATCCATTCTTTGCAGCTCTTCTTTGCCTGTCAGTTGTATATCATAGATGTATCACATCATGTATTGTATAATGGCACTTGTATCAAGATATGTGTCATATCGTAAGAGAAATTGTATTGTTGCAGTCCCACAATCTACTTGAGATGCACCCTCAATACAGCACTTGCAGCAAGCACACCATTAAACATGCACTCATTAGTCACACACTACTAGCAAAATGTTACCAAGTACATTTACAACTACCAAACTCTGCTACCATCACTACTAACGACATGTATAAAGATGGCTGCAGAGCCATCACCTTCAATCTAGCAGGACAGGAGAGTCCTCTTTTTATGTACTAAACAAGTACAAACTATTACAGTATGTTGACAATT